TGGCAATTATTTATATTGAAAGGAAAGTATTGTTACATGGAATTAATTATAGCAAAGACTTTTTAAATTTCGTCAACATTTAAAATACTTCTTAACGAATTTTTTAGAAAAGATTAAACATAATTCTAAATAGTTTATTGAATCTTGAGTTACAAAACTATTATTTTCATTTACATTTTCGTTCTTTGATGATTATTTTTTCTTCTTTCTATCGATTGAACTTTATACATATCTATTTCCATTAAGGAGTTGATAGCTTGTAACTTGCAAATTATAACAACCTTACATCATCCAAAATGTAACTCTAATACAAAGACTATTAGGTTAAATTTAATTTGTATTTTAAGATACTGGCTCATCATTTGCTGATAGACTTTAGCGAAAATGATTTTATTATGATTTAAATCTACAATCTCTTTTGAACTTTATATCTATAGGATTAGAATTTAAATCCGTTCGTGAGTTAAAAGCATTCAGAAAGCAAGTTTTTTTACTCCCAACACGTTGATATCAGCGCTCCTCTCAATAATAGTGATGCAGTCTTGCATTGTGCGTTTATAGATCATTTGCGTGCAAATTCGCACGTACGCACACTAGGGTTGGGTTCTTATATCGATAAAATATATAACATATAGAAAATCTATAAAATATAAATGGAATTTCTAAGTTTGTTTTTCAATAAACATATAATAACTATATAATGTAGCTTAGCTTATGTTATTTTAAATTAAATTTGTAATTTATTTAAGATACCAGGAAGTCAGAGTCCCAATACGGATGATGCTTTTAAAAGAGATCTTAAATAAAAATTTCAAATGAATGAATAACTGACAAGTCGCCATCCTAAATAAATACAACTAAGTTTCTTTCAGAATAAAATGAAATTATTATTATTTATTTAACGACGCTAAATATAATTAACTTTTAGACATTTTCATTGAGATTTTTTAAATGTTGTATAATGAGAACAAAAGGTGAAAAGGTAAGGAGCTATTATTATATATTTTAAATATATTTTTTTTTCTTATGAAGTCTGTGACTAAGATTTAACTCATTTTTTTATTAGATTTTCAATAATCGTAATAATCGGTTTAATAAATGTTCATTGACTTATCGATTAGTTTGAAAAGTAATTTTCTCCATCCCTAATTCCGAGTTGATGATGTTTTAAGATAAATGGATGCGGGTCCCGAGTTTGTAACAGACGTCCCGGGGCTGCGCACGCGTCGCAAAAACACATCGACACGTCATTCAATCGATAACTATAAATAGTGCGCGCATCACTAGCTTGGAGTTCTAAAATGTCCCGTAACGTTTTGTTTTTAATAAATTCGTGTTTATGTGTCTTCAACAAATATTGATTCATGTTTTGGTAAGACTAGGAGAAAGGAGTTTTTATGTTTTATATATCTAACTTATTTTATATAATATTATAGATATAAAGCTTAAAATCAAATAAAAAAGGAAAGAAATCGTCTGCTTTCAGAATTGTATCCTCGGGTATAGAAACTATGAGTGACATTAACTAGTAAATGAGTTAAATTTATATATTAAAAGCAAAAATATATACTTGTATGTATATCATTGTTATATATATTACGATATATAAATAATGAATAGTGTATACACGTTATTTTATTAAGTAAATCAATAAAACAGTGAGCCTTCAAATATTAGTCGCGGTTTCTTACTCAAATAATATACAATGGTATTACTCACTTTATTTATAAAGTAAATTAAACAGTGTCATTTAAAGTTAAAATAACAATATCTTTATCTTATAATTATTAAGTATTAATTTATAAAATATTTTCTCTATAAATCAGATATAGTGACGTGAAAGCAAAATAGTGCATCAAACAATATACATACATATGTTACAAATCTTTATTTGTAAGATTCAATATTTTTACCTAAATGGTAATCATATAACAAAAAAATGTTTACTGACTCAATAAATAGCTTAATAACCAAACATCTACTTCTACTTTCTTAAGATCAATTATTTATTCAAGTATGTACTAAAAGTTTTTTTCGAAATAGATAACAATTATGTATCAATTTTCTTTAAGTTTTTCATAGTAATATTTATTTCATAAAACAAAGTCTGATTAACCTTTTCTTTCTCTCAAAATTTTAAGATAATTTTTATGGTATTTGATTTTTTCTAACATACCAATAGCTACATGAAAATATATAATGTAAAAGTATTCCTTAGTAATATTACATAACTTTAATATACACGAGTCGCATATTGAAATACAATAGTTCCTAATCTTTAGCGTTTCGTAAAAATCTGCCAATTCCAAAATATCTGGTGACAAAAGGTTTCATTTATCAAACGGTGAAATTTTCAACCACACGGAGAAACACGATCCAGATTCATTTAATAGAAACGAATATTAAATATGACTTTTTATACTATTTTAATAGTGTAGTAACGAAAGTACGTATAATTATTCTATTGGCTAAATTCCTTTTTGGTAGTAACATTTTTTTGTTTTATTATAATTGATTTACGCCGAATGTTCTGGTCTTGAAAGAACATTTACATATTCTTTGATACTAAAATAAGATTTCCATAACTCAGTCGTAATGTTAGTCGAAGTCCTTTATATATTTACATCATACAACAGCCTTAAAGGCTCTAATCATATGATCTACTTCCATATATAATACACATTTCTTTGTAACAAGTTTGAGATATTTTAAATTACCTCTCATTATACGAGCGGTCGAGCCGGACACGGAATTCGTATTGAGAGAAAAAATACCAACCTGTTCCCAGACGAATCTTTATCTCAGGGAGTTCCACTAATTTTTGTATTGCTCAGATTTCTTGTTAATATTACGTGCACACAAGTAAATGCATATATATATTAACCTTTGTTTGTATTTCTACTATTAGAAGGGTTTATTTATAGCAGTCTGCTTATAAGTTATTAAGTATTATTGTTAAAACAAAAGTTCTTATAAAATTCCCTCATTATATCCCCGAAGCGTATCACATTACGCAGTATACTGTATAGTAAGCATTATGTAGATACAAGGCTTTTGAAACTTAAAGCCTATTTAATTCTGAACGATATTAAGCGCCGTATATTATAACGGTTTGTTCGGCGATCACAAACAGATTATGGAGGGATTTTAGAGATTTCATTGATCTTGTTTGCTTGTACTTCATCTCATCTCTGAGATGTGGGTAGATAAAGGCAATTTGCTTGTCTCTGAACATTAATACAGAAGATTGTAGGTGCTCTTATAGAAAGTACTTACATTGACCAAATAGTAAACAAGCCAACATTAATTACTTGATCATTTATCACTATTATTAATTGCATATTCCACTTGGCATCCTAATTATACATCACACAAGTAATTAAATTTTAATGGGTACATTGCTAGCCCTCCTATAACAATATGTTATTGAAAATTCCGATAAGTTTAGTTATTCTATTTAACTATTCAATATGTAACTCGCACTCACTGTGAGGGGATGAAAAGTTCAATAAATTTCGACTTATTCCGTGGTATGCCGATATTGCGAACCGACTTTTTACTATAACATTTCGGGACTCTGTTTTATTGTATCCGAAGAACAAAATTTACTTCAAACAAGAATTTGATATCACAGTTAATAGTTTAGGATCGTTCTTTGAAACGAAAGCTTTAAATTTGAGTAATTAAAATATTATAATTAGATAGAAATATTTGTGGTGTTTTCATTTATTTAAATATTGAATTATAATTGAAGTGAGATCGTAAATAAAACATGTTCGTGTAATATAAGATTTGAGTATTTATTTTACAAGTTGCATTATCGTTTGAAAATATAATATTTCTTCCCTTCAATCACATCCATTTATCTTTGCCTCTCACGTTACTTATGCTAATAGGATCCGTCTATTGTAAACTAAGAAAATCGTTATACAAGATGATAACATTGAAACATTTATAGTTATTATTATTTATCAAATATTTATATAGTTATAATTCTACTATATTTATTATTTAATTTCTGTACCCGAGTATTTTAATACGTCTTATAGATTTGCAATTTCTTATGTTAAATATTATTTATTTATGTTTTAGCCTATATATTTTAACTTGTCTGGTTATTACTTTTTTGTATTTTGTTTACTTTGAACTTTCTTTGGGCGTCTCTTAACTGCAACATTAATGTCATTCTGGATCTATTAAAACAATTGTTTAATGTAATGGTACCCCGATATGCCAATATAGTCATCATATGTTGATTGATCTTAATTCCTTTTTGACCCAATTTTGTATGATTGGCCGTACTTATTATGGTACGTACCTATGCCCTGGGAATGTATCGAGTTTACCAGTATAGTTAAGTAAAATATCATAAGATTAAATTATAATTTAAAAATAGGAAAAGAATTTGGTAGTTCTCACTTTTCTTTTATTTTGTATAAGTTTCTTCTGGGTCCATATTAAGAAGAATGAATAAACTTATCGCTTAAAATAAGGTTTTTCGATTTGAACAAACACATGTATATACTTGTAGGTAGGTAGGTAGGCACATACTTAATATCGCGACATAATCATAATCTGAATGTGTCAGGTTGAAATAAATTGTTTAAATGATGCTTTTGTCTATACCTTTTTTTTTCTAAATAACACAAATAGATCTTAAACCATAATTTGACTATACGAAAATCTTAAACTTTTCATTCTCAATGTTTACTTGCTCGATTCTTTTAATCTGAAGTAACATATAGGTATTTTGTCAGCCAGTGAAATAATGAAAAACTGTTATCAAATTATTGCATTGTCATGCATACGTAGGCAAAGTTTCAAATTTTTCACTCTTTTAGAAACCTATGAAAAATAATCTCAAAGATTCCGATACATACACACAACCCAAGCTAATAAAATCGTGTTAAAAATTTACATATCTTTCATAATAACTAACATAATTTTTGTTTTTTGTATTCCTGGACTGTCTAATCGTGTATATGTTTGTGTTTTCATAGTTCGGAAGCGAGTCGTGTGTTGCTATGTGTCTGCCTGGTCGCGTGTGTGGCGAGTGTGTTGTCTGCGCCAGCCCAGCTGTGTACAGCGGCGGCAGAGGACGACCCTCGTGCTGCCCGCTTCTGTCAGGCTCTGAACACCTTCTTGGAACTTTACGCTGAAGCTGCGGGCGAACAGGTGCCCGAATATCAAGGTTGGTCCTTTCATATACATAGACTACTAAAGGTTACAAATCGTAGTGCCCTAGGTTGAAGGCACGCCTCTCATGTATGAGGGCAAAGGTTCGATACTGGCAAGTACCAATGCCATTTTTCCGAGTCATATGTACCTTCTAAACTTATTTAGACATCACTGACAGACGGTGAAGGAAAACATCGTGAGGAAACCTGGAAGTATTATTTCAAATTATAAGTCTTGAGCGAGTATTGTGGTCAATGCTCAAACCTTCTCCATATGAGAAGAGGACTTTGCTCCATTGCGGGCTGATAGACCGATAATGATGAAAGCTTACAAGATTATCAATAAGAGGAAAAACTTTTCACTCTTTATTGATGATGTTAGTAGCTGTATACTTATCTGCGGATACCAATGTAAGGAGAAAGATTGTTGCTCTTTGGCGATTACTATTTTTATTCTTATCACAAAGATTTCAAATAGATTATAAGATATTATAAACCTTCGTTAATCTTTCATATATTTCCAGCCCTGGTCCGCGACTACCCTCAACTCCTGGACACCGGCATGAAGCGTCAAGACGTGGTGCACTCCTTCCTCCGTTTCGGTCGCCGCTGACTGCACACACACACACACAAACACACGCACACACACACACTATAAACGTCGTCTTTATCCAGAACATTCTATCAGCTATGGATGTACTTACGCTAAAGTATTAATAGTTCTAAGTGTATCTTGTTGTTACAATCTTTAGTTTGATATTGTAACGTTTTAAATAAATACATTATATGTGACATGCTGACCGTTATTTTATTGTCTATCGCCTTTCATTATATTATCATGGTATGGCTTAAAATTATTCAAGCGAAAACTTATTTAAAATATACCTGTATTGTTAAATTATAAGTACAGTAAGGTTATTATATGAATAAAAATAAATAAAAATCAATTGGAATTTAACACTTTTATTTAAATCCAAAAAAGTTCATTGATATAATACTTAACCAAAAAATATGAAAATATAAACATAATCTGATTTAAGATTATATAAAAATCCACGGTTTGCAACAATTCTAAAACTTTTGATATTAGTATACAGTAAGAATAGTCTATTTTGTTTCAAAAGTTCGTACTATTACACAGAAAGGTATTGTAACTTCAACATAGCACCGCATTCAACCAAAGAATAAACTACGAGTCGGTCAACTGATCGAGCAACTGGTCGACCAACACATCGACAACTTCGATCTTGGCCTATATTTGTATACAAATAATAATCAAATTTCCAGTATATAAAAAAATTGGCAAGAACTTAACAGTCATGTGTCTAGAATATGTTATAACTTATAAGTACATATAGTTTATTATTAAATTAAAAAAATAATAATTGGAAAACAAAGAATTTTCTTAGGAAATTATATATTGTAGGCTAACACTTAATGTATTCTCAAGATAAAATTTGAACTCCATTTTTCAGTTTTAATATAGACCAAAATAATATAGAGTTAATTAAAGTATGTAGCTATCTAAAAAAATATTATAACCAGTATTTAATTTAATGTTGGTATTTTTGTTAGGAACTTAAACGCTAGATGGCAGCTCAGTACAATCATTTTGAACCAAAAATATTTATATAAAAGGAAAATTGTATTTAAAAAAACACTTAAGAGAAATTTATGAAATATTTGTAATAAACATATTTGTCATGAACTGAACACCACTTATTTACAATATATTAAATCAAATTTTCTCAAACTCCTAATGAATAATTCCAATAAGTTAAAATTGAAGAGTAAATTTTAAATAATAAATAATAAGGTATATTTTTCATTAATTTATTTCCCGTAGTACATAATAATATCATCAAAAACATTTCCTTATTGATAATATACAAAAATTGTGATGAAAGCTCACTATCTAATAATAAACATATTTGTTTGATATTTTTGTTAACAATTCAATATGTTATATGGACGACATCTCCGCCCACAGATAGAAGACATTGACCCTGAAACAAACAATGAATCGATTAAGACAGACAGAGATAGGTAAAGAAAGAAAGAGATAGACATATATAAGAGGGAGAGGGGAAATTGAGATTTATTTATTTATTTATTTATTTAGGAACACCAACAGTGTACATATACAACATTTACACAAAAAAATATAGCCAAAACTAAAGGTCTACATATGTACACCTATTACAGGTGTTCACAGCATTGCCTAAAAAATTGTTTAAAAACAACACCTTAATCTAATTATAATATATTACATTTACAAGAAAAACACTATTAAATAAAAAAACACTAATTAATAAAAAAACACTAATTAATAAAAACAACACAAATTAAAAACGAAAAGTTACAATTTTAAATATATTTTTGCAAGGTATGCCTGAATTTAGTAGAAGATTCGCGAAACATGTCCAAGTCTGTTATATCTTTATTTAGTGAATTGTAAAGGTTGCACATCCTAGCAAGCGGAGAATGCGCACCTAGATTTGTTCTAACTTTTGGATGGTAAAAAATTTTTGTTATGCGTTGACGAGGAATTTTATTGGGTACCGAAATTGTACCGAAATTGAGATTAATAAATTAATATAGGTAATTCATTATATTTTCTATTTCATAGAAATAACTCCTCTTTATAGGTTTATTTTTTACACTTCTGGAAATTGTAGCCAAAATATAAGTATCATACTATTAATATATGAGGATCACACATCGATTACTGTAATATAAGTGAGAAAGAGATAGAAGATATTAGAGGGAGAGGGAAGATGTTTGTATAATATTTCTTATATGTATATTATATAGTTTATTATATATAATATCACCTGGTTCTTGTGTGCGTGATGATGTAGTAGCAGGTGTGCGAGGTATAGTGACGTCAGAGCATTCCCGCCTAGCGCCGCGGTGTACGCGCGAACTATAGCCAACACCTATATATACATAATATATATTAGAAGACATATATGTTACACATAGAATTAATAGAAGTTTCAATATTGGAATATAATTGATACATTAATATTAATGCATGAAATTTTTGTTTCTTTATTTTTTATGTTTTGATTAACTCCAACATCATGATTCTCAATTCTGCTCTATATGTAATATACTATGAATTTAATCTACTTAAGATGTATTCAACAAGAACAATTTTACTAACTAATCAAATTTTATATCTTAATTGGATTAATGACAATACTCTTAAACATTAAGAGCTTTATTTTTTCAAATAGTGGAACATTTTGTAAGTAAACTATATTTTGTATGTGTATGTATGTATGTCCCACCTCGCTAGTAAATGAGTGTAGGAACCCGCTGAGTCCGCCAAGCTCTCTCACCGCGGTCGTTTCTCTCACAAACAATAAACGAAGGGAACACACTCGCCTCGATACTTTACTGCCTTGAACTGAACTGAGGGTAGTCAGAGAAACTTGACTTGATGGCTGGAAGAAGTTATATATATTATTACTAGTTGTACGATCCGCTAAAAAGATACATCGCGTTTCAGTGAGAGGAGCTTCAACAGTGACTGGGACTTGTGACCCAGGTGTAGGTTTAAGAGGCTAATATCTAAAATTAAACGCTCACCTCCACTGTCCAAGCTAATCTTTACCTAACCACTCTATATATTGACCTCTATATTAATGACATCTGTATACTAACAGTAGGATTGTGTTTTTCGTCAGCGGGTTCATGTTTCACTAGCTGCTCCTCATCCAATTCAAAGATATCATCTTCAGTATCAGCGTAATTTTTATCGGTACCATTTGTATGTTCAGCTTTGTTCGGGTCAACTAATTGTATGGCAGTGCCTAGTACCATTAGTTGTATTTCATCCTGGGTACATATAAGAAAAAGATTATTATACAAAAATTAATGTATAATTAGATTATATTATTTAATATAAAAATATAGTATTTCTTACTGATGTAAAGTCATATAACATTCATAAGGTTATATATATATGTAGTAATAAAACAACACTATATGTTAGTAAAGCTAATGAAATGCAATATTTATGTTGTTACATGTTAATGTTCGTGTAAATGAATTCTATATTCTATATTTTCGCTCAGAATTCTAATTTAATTATTTATAATAACCGAATAATATATACAAGTCGAACTTGCCCTATATTTTTATTTTATTCTAGCTCTTTTCAAATTAAACCTCGGTCAACTTTAACTAGTCAAGTTATTTCTTATTGGTGACCGATTGGAATTCAAACCTCGGGTAAATCCAGGTGAAAAACCGATGGAGCGAGTGCTGCGGGCGCGAGTCTCCGTAGTTTGTACGCGGCCCCGGCCAGCGCGCCCGCTGCTAACCGCTCTCCGCCCGCTGTGCCACACAGACGAGCACGCCACACCTGAAAAGAGTTTGAAGGGGGTCATATTATACTATAGTATAGTATAAATAAAATATGGCAGTGAAGTAGCTGGCTTATATGATGAATTAGAACAGAACAAAACAGTTATTTCATGAGTTAATAGTATTATCAGAAGATATAATATGTTGGAAATCGTTCGGAAATGGCACGCTCGTTAAAAATCATTTTAGTTTGAAGGGTGTCATATACCATAGTATGTTATAAATAGAATATAACATCGATGTAGCTGGCTAATGTAATGGTATTTGATCTGAATAGAACAGTTATTTAGTGCTTTTATAATATTATCAGAATTTATATAATAGAAATCTTTCAGAAAACGATTTTTGATTACATATACATTTTTTGATTTTTCACTACTTGATTACATTTTCTTTACCTTGTTTTTTTATATAGTAAGTAATACTGTCAATAGACGAAACTAAATAAAAATATTTAATTTTCTTCTTTAAAAAAAAATACTAGTATCATACCTGTAAAACAATATTTTTATTTGTAAACAATACCAATCGTAGTAATTCGGATACAAATTTCTAATTTATATTAAAACTAATCCCAGAGTTGGGAGATAGTGGTGGGGATAACAATAGACAACAGTTTCCCCCTCCACTAATATTACTTATATTATCTGTTATATCATGTTATGTTCTTAGTTTTATACCGTTTAGTCTGTATTTTAGTAATAAAAACAATGTTGTATACACCTGTAAAGGCAAATCATACTGGATTGAATATTTAGTGCATATAATATTGTGTTAGTTATTAAGATAAGTCGATGGTGTATCTTAATAAATAAATAAATAAATAGTCTTATATAATGTGTAACCTGCATGAAAGCGTGTGGCGGGGCTCCGCTGAGGGACCGTAGGCTGTTCGTGTACACCGGCAGGTGACTCCGACGAATAGATAGGGCTTTGGCTGTCTCCACCTACATATATAAACATTATTATACTATAACACATATATATTGCAATAATTTTTAATAATAATAATTTATAATAGTAATCATTAACATGTTTTCTACACTCTGAAAGTTATTTATGTATAATATGTCATAAAAACTGTTTTGGTTTAAGGTTTAAGGTTTAATTATATACAATATTTATAATTATTAATAGCACTGTTTGTTTCGAGAATATAAATAAATAAATATTAACGCGAAGACTTATATATCAATGCATTTTGAAATACGTCCAATTAGATTTGCACTGTATTCAGTCATTTTACTATTATATGGTTATATCTTAAGTAATTTAATATTACGCAAATTATATGAGAGTGGTTTAAGGAGATCTTCTATACATCAGTACTGACACAAATCACATTACACTACAAACAGATAGTATGCCGTTCATACACAATAGTAAGGCAAGTATAGTATAGTATATTTTAATTCCCAAAAGGGGGTTGATGTCAGGCAAAGCTGGGAAATTGCCAGGTAGAAGGCAGTATAGTATACTTACGTCTTCAGCTTCGTCTAGTTCTAAGACACATGTATCTTTATCAGCGCTGAGTTCTAAGGCGGGGCCTCGGTCCTCTTCGGCCTCTAAGGTCCCCGCTGATAGCTCCGGGCCCGGCAGGCCTATGCAAAAAAACAGTATAAAATAATCGGCTAATCGGCAATAGACGTCCGATTTAGAGTAATAAGAACATTAGGGAAGGAATTGTGACCGATTTTAGCTTTTATATTGTATTCATATACCAAAATGATTACGTAATGTTATATAAATCAAAATATTTTATATTTGCAAAGCAAACTTTATTTGATTTAGTATATTTACAAGAATTTAAAATATATAGCTACTTGATATTGATTCTCACTATATACATTTGAAATCAAGTAATAATAAGGTATTTTATTATTATACTTAAACTATAAATAATGAATGTATATATGTATTTTTATCTACATACACACGTCATATCCGTTCGCAGCTTTGTTCATATTAAATGTATCCCAGAGAGCCTTCTGTATTTCTAAAGCGTTCTTGTCATGTTCCGAGGCCTGAAAAACGACGCAAAATGAATAAGTCTTAGTTCAACCATTCATTAAATCCATGGTTATTATAGCTTTCTAGGTAATTTTCTTAATTATTTTCACGAATCAAAATACATGTGACATAAGTTTCTAATCAATATAACATACTCTTTAACACAGTAAACGTATAACGCCTATATCGTACACACTACTATCATATATTACTTATATCGATTTTCAATCCACTTCTCTAATAGATACATCCGTCTCCTATACACCCATCCCTCTCTTTCTTATACACCCGTCCTTCTCTCTCATATGTGTCATGTCATCAGACTATCACCACGCTTGCTCAAGACGGGTTGGTGATGTCAAACTTATAATTGTGAAACTATAAGTCCAGGTTTCCTCACGATGTTTTCCTTCATCGTATGTCAGTGATGTCAAAATACTCTCAGAAAGTACATATGACTCCGAAAAATCACATTGGTACTTGCCAGGTTTGAAGCCGCGCGCTCGGCAACGAGAGGCGGGCCCTTTAACCACTAGGCCACCACTGACCTAATCCTAGGTTACTGAATTAATCTCTCTCCTATACACCCGTCCCTTTCTCCTATACACGCGTCCCTCTCTCTCCTATATCTCCATCCCTCTCTCTCTCTCTCTTATATCTCCGTCCTTCTCTCCTATATCTCCGTCCCTCTCTCTCCTCCAACCTTGATCCTAGGCGAGGTTGGCGCGGGTAGGGCCGTCAGCCTGACAGCTGTTCCACTGGCCAGCGCCATCACACATCTCTCTCCAATAGCTATTTGAGTCTGGAGCGAGAACAACGCGTTGGCGCCCTGCATACAACAACACAATATATAAAATATATTACTAAATGATGTTCTGACCAATATTTTGGATAAGTAAATGGTCAAAATGTAAGTTAAAAACTGTTTTATAGCGACTCGCATTAAATCGGTATGCTATTATATATTCTATCAGAATTTTTAACGCCCTCCTGCATGAGAGTAAATAAAAATATTCATGAAGGTTGCAATCTTTATAAAATATATAAATCTATTTATGTCCTAGCACATGATATTTTTAGTTTTTATGACATAATCCAAAAAGAAATTTCAATGATTACATATGAGCATTACCAAAAGACATGAGCAATTATTTTCCAACAAGGACAGTTTTAAGTTTCACTTTCAATTTTGCAAAATAAGTAATATATCCTACTATTATAATTGCGAAAGTTTGTGAGTGTGTGTGTATGTTTGTTACTTCTTCACGCTCAAACGGCTGAACTGATTTTGATAAAATTTAGTATACAGGAAGCTGACGTCCAGAAATAAGACATATGCTACTTTACATCCCGGAAATAGTATATCAATAGTCATTTTATTGACCTGCATCCTAAGTTTGGCTAGTAACAGCTTATGCAGCTCATATTCCAAGAAGGGCAGCTGGTCCGAAAGGTCTCTGGCGCCCGCTTCTGACCCTACCGACCTTCGACCACGAGCCGCTGAAAACAGAATAAGGCTTACTGCACACGGAGCGTTTGAAGATTTTCATATAGTATAAACCTGTTTTCATACTAAAACGAGCGACGTTTGTAAATGGAATACTTGACAGACTTCTAAGGACCTAGTATGACCATGAACTAGTTTCTATTTAAAATTTAGTTAACGGACTTATGTGAGTTTAGCTTTTATCAATTTTATTGCCTTCATATGGCTTCAAATGTTTTTTTCTCAAGTCCATAAACTATTTCATATATAGGTCACCACTATCAAAAGTGACAGCAACTAGTACCTTTCTTTAGTCATTACAGATAAGAGTTTGTATATTTATATATGTATATAATTCTTCTGTGAGTGTGTATGTCAGTGAACTTCTCTCAAACGACTGAACCGATTTTGATGAAATTTTTTGTACGTGTTCAAGGGGATCTGGGAAGGGTTTAGATTCAGAATTTTGTCTGCTGGACAATGTGTTGTTAATTAATTTTTAATTTATTAGTAGCTATTGATACAAACGTTTTTTTTTTTGACATTAGATTTGACAACTAACTAATATGTCAATCATTCTGTCGCACTTCAAAACACGGAGATTTAGGTTTTAATAGGTAAACTCTAAAAATATAAATAAAAAAATGTAACAAATATTTCTTGATTATAAGGCGATACGAAATTCGCCGGGTCTTCTAGTATATACAGGGTGACTGGTGAATTACTATCGATATTTGAGGACGTGATATTTGACGATCATATATGACAAAATAAAAATTAATATAACATAAATATTAATAAACTTCTAAGTAAAGTTAACCAAAAGTTGTGTAATTAATTACGCATCGTATGAACACCCTACAGATTAGGTATACACACACACTCACACACACGCGGCGGGGGCGTGGTTTTGTTTCAGCACGCCGCCGCACGCGTGCACACTTGGAACACTTGGAACGTGTCAACACTTTATTTATTTATACGGAAATTTGGTCAAAAATTAAGTACCTATTTTTTTTACATAATTCGAATGAGAATCATGTACCGAGTATGCTCCTTAAATATTGATAGTAATTCACCAGTCACCCTGTATATGTATAAAAGCTCACCGACAGCCGTGAGAGTGATCGCCTTAGCGTAGGATGTGAGTCGACTGGGCTTAGCGCATGTAGCTAACAACACAGACGGAACGCGGGCCCTCCTGGAATATACGGTAACAACAAATTATAAAATAATACATAGTATATATGTAGGTCACCTTCAAAGCTCAAAACATTCCATACAAATGTACTTTCTATTTTTAACGTCAACTGATTTCTTCCCCCGACTTCGTTCGCACGGATTTAGAGAATTGTTTCAAAAAGAAATTAATAAATTATATGGTACCCAAGCGACAGCGACATCTATAGTCATATAACTACATACAATGTACACGAACTTAATCCCATCTTTATCTGTGTAGCCTATACTACTGTTAATTTTACTCTAAATCCATTAAGGTTATTGGACGTTAAAGTCCAATAAATATACAAACATTTTTTGACTCAAAGGCTTTCATTGGACGTTAATTTCCAAGAAACATTCAAACATACATAGAATGTTTTATATATAACGTACCTGCATGATCCACAGAGAGCAAGCTCGGCCCTATATGGCCCAGCGCCGGGAGCATACGGAACGTGCGCCGAACGACATTCGGGTTCCTCATCACGAGGACCTAGAAGAGAGTTCATAGTCATAACTACATATATGTAAATCAAATTAATACCATTTTATTTAAAATGACCTTTAAATACTTTCTTTACTTAACTTGGTGCAAGATTTGTTTTTCCGGAACTATAAATTTGCAACGGCCATTTTATTCGTAGCTTGCATTAAAGTGTACTTATTAAATATAGATATTAACATATCAAAATAACTTACAAGCGGTTGTCTCGTCGAGCGTGAAGTCACAATCTAGATTGATGACAGCCGCTGTTCCAGACACGGAGAGAACACAAACGTCCTCCCTGTATAAGAAAATATATTTATGTATACTCAAATTATATTTAGGTCAAAGATAGAACCAGTTTACATCACAAAACCAATGCTATCGTTGTGACAAACGTGATATAGAAAATGCAAGTGATGTGTTATCATGTATATAAGCTTTTGACCGCAACTTATTATAAATTTTAAGTAATCGTCCACATCACGTGATTTGATCCTGCATACAATTATGAGGAACTGCTTCTATGCAAATTACACGGTTTTAAGGTATAAATTATTTTTAGTTTCAAGCCACATTAGTAAGTGTCATAAATTTTTCACATCATCATCGTAAAACTTTCACGTTTATAATACTTCATCATCAACAATACAATCCTAGTCATATTATAATTGCGAAAGTTTGTTAGTGTATGTGTATGTTACTTCTTCACGCTCAAACGGCTGAACCGATTTATATAAAATGTTGTATACAGGTAGCTGACGTCCAGGAATAAGATATAGGCTACTTTACATCCTGGAAAATGTTCGACCTGATAATCAAGTAACACCGCAGGGCGCAGCTAGTATGCTTACCTGACAGCAGCTCGTTCGCTGTATGCTAATACTGCAGTACATCGTAGAGCTCTCGCGTGTGCTCGAAGTTCCGTTCTTAGTTCAGCCCACCACGCGGCACGAGAGGCGCTTTCACCTCCACCATCAACAAGCTTTACAGATCTGGCACACACTGTACCACCTACCACCAACAATAATAAACCTTATACTCGACTTCCACACCCAAGTCATATGTATTCTCTAAGAATATTTATACACCACTGACAACAGTGAAGGAAAACATCGTTAGAAAACATGAACCTATAATTTTACAATTATTAGTTTGAAATTGCCAACCCGTCTTGAGCAAGCGTGATGATTAATGCTCAATCATTCTCTATGTGAGAAAGAGGCCTTTGCTAAGCAGTTGGCTCTGATAGGCTGAGGTTGATGACTCGACTTATAAGGAAATATATACAATACATAGCATTAAAGGACTATTAGAGTTGTTAAAATGACTTTTTGTTTCCATTTTTTGGGAATTTTAGTCGATAGCAGTTTCAAAACACGCGATTGATGGGAGATTCTGGCGTTACTTACCAATGTGAACTATGAAACCGGGAGGATATTCCGTCATAGTAAGGAATGGATATTCCAACATATCCAAGTTATTGCTGTTCATAGAAGGACGCAGTATCGCGCCGCCGGTGACTGTGTTGCCAGCTGACGCGTTTAGAGAGCTGCCTGAAAATTAATTACCTATAATTAACAGAAGCATAGTTACGTATGATACTTTAATGTAATAATAGATTCATTATTGTGTGGTTATATCAATATGAAGGTAGGTACCTTTAGGAGTAACACTTAGATCTGAATCAGACGACCGTCGATGTATTCCCATCGGAGTTGAAGATGAATTTATTGATGCGTTTTGTACAGGCACGCTGCTTGCCGGATCCTTTCCTCCATATGATTCGTGCCTCGCGTGTCTCGGCGATCCTCTGTCCCTCTCACACCTATCGGCATACCTATCCCGTTCTCGCTCGCTCCTGTCAACACCGCACGCTGCATGCGAGTTACAACACACGCTAACACTGTTAGTAGATTCCACTACACCATCTACGTCTAGACTCTCAGTTCTATCTACACTGTCCTCCGGCAGAGATGGTATGGTCTCTAAAGGGACGCCGCTAAGAATAGGATGGAAATGCTGCAACACCGGCGAAGGAATTACTTTGCAAGGGTTTGGGAGTTGGAGCGACTTGGACATTTTGGACGATTCTGAGTCAGTCGTTGAATGTATGCTGTCCTGCCTCACCAATTTTCGAGCCTTCTTTTCCGAACTATTATTGATTTCATTATCAGCTTGCCTAGATTGTGCTTGTTCAACTTTTTCCAATTTTTCGTTAACGTCAGCGAAAAATTTTTGATTTTCAGGAGTATTAGGTTCCGGACTCGTCGGTATCAACAGAGATTCAACTTTGTCTATCAGAATAGTCTCCATGGCAGTATGTATTAGTCCGGTCGGCTTTAGTATCGACTTTTGTCTTTTGAACGATCTCTGTTCTAGGAAATTATTGTCGTGTTTTGAAGACGGACCGCTGAAGGAGGCTCTAGATTGAGGTTCTGATCCAATGTACATAGACACTTTATTGGGCACGATTTCATCACTTTTATGAAGACGATTTAGAGAATAAAAACCATCTTTATCGAGGCTCATTAAATCATTGTAAGATAGAAAAGGAGAACCTAACACTGTGTCACTTGGGGCTTTAGAAGTGACGTCGGAAGCAGAACCAGGTTCACTAAGAGCAGTTTTAGGCTCCACTTGCTTTTTCTTTGGAAGGAGAGAATAGTGAGATAAGCTTTTAATCATATTACTATGTGATATTTTCGACAAATGTCGCTTGATCCGCTTTGAGGAGCGATACATGAAACTTTTTTTTTCTATAGGGGAGGAGGGCGCACTCAAACTTTTTTGAGTTTTTTTATGTGCAAAAGGATTATGAATTCTAAAAGAATGCGAATTATTTATTTTGGATGGTACAAACGTTTTATCATTACGTGCTGACGAGATGGAAGCCACATTTTCCTTTACATTCAAATTATCGCTAACATCGATCGTTTGTTCAATCGATTTTGAAATTTCACATGTGGTTTTATCTTCATGTTCTTTGACTGTCTTGAACAAAGCATTATTTGATAATTCAGTATTAGCTAATTCGAGAACAGTAAGTTTCTTTTCCATTTGAGCTATGAACTGAGGATCTACTTCGGAACTCAGAACTGATTTTACAAGGGAGCTAGTGGTCTCAATGGCTTGGTCATGGTCGTTTTTATACGAATAGCTTTCATCATCTTCCTCGGAACTGCTGTAAATTTCTGAACTCTCCGCTGATAGTGCAGAGGAAATTGAACCATAGTACCCCTCTTCATGGGGTAATTTTAAGAAATTTTCCGTTCTTATCACAATAGGAGTTGTAGGACATGATTCAGATATTTTTCTTTCGGGTTCAACATTATCAATAGTTTTAATATTTTCCAAAGAACTGCAATGAATTTCAGGTATTTCTTTAACTTGACTTTCAAGTACAATGTTTGTATCTGATATTTTGTCATGTTCTGTCGTGTTTACGTTCGGTTCAGATTCGCTGGTTCTTCTCAATGTCGAAGAAGGTGAATGCTCAGAATCAATGCTTTCAGATATACGGGCCAAACTTGTGTGTGCATGGAACACTGATCTTACTAGGATAGACGCCATCCCAACTCCTTCATCAGCGATATTGTCGTTTTTTACTAGCTTGGGAATTTTTAATTTTTTTATCTTCTTAATTTCCTTTTTTAGGTCACTGAACGATATACGAGAAGTATCGGAGGAAGATGACTTTATGGACACCTGATCATCATTTTCGTGTTTTCGCGATTTTTTTATGAATTTTTTTGAAAATAAATTGTCTTTGATTTTCTTTATTGTTTGTAGCGGACCGCTTGAATCTGTAGAGTTGACTCTATTTAAAAGTCTGTTTATGTTCAGCTGATCTTCTGATAAGTTTTTTAAGCTCTTTCTCGCATAATATTCGTTATATAGTGATAATTCTCCTGTGTATGATCTCTGATTAGATTGCTTTTGAAGGTTAAGTTCTACGCTCTTTTCGTCGTCATCAATATCGGGTTCGTCAAGTAAATTACACGTCTTAGGGTTCAAGATGTTAACTATACGCAACAATTCCTCTTGATGACTTTGGTAATACTGACTCAGATCGGTAATACTGTCTTCGTCTGTGGCCAAAATGTCCAAGTATTTTTTTAATTGTCTACATATATTTTGTTAAGGGAGGCGGCGATACAACACGACAAACCATGCAGACATATCGTAATAAGTAAATAATATAATATAATTATTGAAATATCTAACTAAATATAATTTTCCTATGTTTATAAAGTAACGAAATAATTTTAAAATACGAAGGCAATTAATTTGAGTTCTTGTTTTTATTTCTATGAAATATTTAATAACATAAATATAATTTATTATGATTGTACTCACTGTTGTGTGCACGGTATATTCGTTTGTAGGTTTGGTATCGGCAGAGCTGTTATACTGACGGCCGTACCTAAAAATACGTTTTTTTTTTAAACAACGACGAAAAAATTATTAGAAGTAAGGTTTATAGTGAAAAACCTTGGAGCTTTTTTATTTAGGATATTTGTTATTTACTTTTGCCCAATAGTATTTTTCTATTCTCGAACATATGCAATTTTTTGTCATCATTAAATGAGCATACATGCAGCAGTGAATCTTAATGACACATGAGAAGATCCTAAATAAACATTAAAATACATTTTTTTTCCTAATGGCCAGCATGTAGATACTTGATTTAGAGCAGACTAATTCGAGTAGACTTAAAAGTAAGAGATTTAAGAAGTGAAAAACTGGACTAAAGAAGAAGGTCAAGATAGTGAATGAAATGCACTTTACTTTAGAGATTTGGCAAGCAGAAAATTAATTTTTCAAGGTCAATTATAACATAAATGTTTCACCTATAGCTCGAGCCACTACTCCCGCCTCTCCCTCCAGGTCAAAGTCTTGTTGGTAACCAACAACAGCGTTAGCACCTAACTCAGCTGCTTTCACACCTACAAGACGCTGCACCTATATGAAAGAAATGAACAGTCTAATAGACTTCGTATCTTGGTGGCCAATAGAAGAATTTTAAGAAGATAATCAATTCTTCTATGACAATTAATGTAGAAGTGACGTTACTAAAAGATCAATTTTGTTATATATTTATAAGTAATATTGAATTAGTTCACATAATGGTACTTTTGGTGGTAAAAGATTGCAATTATTATAAAAATAAAATGTTAGAGCAACAATAGATATAGAAAACATTTCCATTGAGTTTGGGTAAAATTTCTATGTAAAGATTTCTTGAAATTATCTTAATAGTTACCAAAGCTAAAAAGCTTCTATGAATTTAACAATTCAATATAGTAAGGAAAAGATTCTAGAAAAGGAACTAAGAAACTTATAAATATTTCAGACCGACTTTAATTATGATTAAAATATTAAAATGACTTAAAAAAATATATAAAAAACAACTCCCAATTAATTTTTAAATTCAGAAACTATTGAGCCATTAGAACCTTAACTTTAAGTCTACAAGTTATTTTAGGCAATAAACAGACTTACCTGATTGCTGAGTTTAATGAAGGCAACCTGCCTAGCCTCGTTGGAAGCCCTGGGTGTTCTTATCTTATCTATCCATTGATACTCGGGGTCATCGTTTACAATGAGCTCTTCAACGAAGCCGTGAATGGCGGTAGCTCTATACCCAGGAGGAATCATTGGACCTTCACAAGGAACAAGAAAGTTAAAGGAAACAAAATCCTTGGAAACTTAAGTAGAAACTCGATTAACCGGACTAATTTTGTCGATAGGCATTCGGATAATCGAAAATCCGGATAATCAAATGTATGAAGAAAAGCCGGTTTTGTGCATATGTTGTACATAATATATGTATAAGTAAGTGTATGTACTTAAACCTGCAGATTTAATCATGAATTAAAATAAGTTAAATTCGGTTAAGAATATTTGGTAATAGTCATTAGACGTACGCCACTCTCAACAACACCACTCTCTTACCCTTTGACATTTTTTCTTGTCCAGACTTGTCCCTAGTCCGGATAATCACGAATCCGTATAACTGAGGGCCGGATAATCGAGTTTCTACTGTAGTAATTATATCTAAAATTTTCGCGAATCATATTCGTTTAAATGAAACTAATATTTTTCGGATATACCACGCGTATTTTACTATTTAATAAAAACTATATACTCCATACGTTTCGTTTACTTTTCAGCAACCTTGATCACGGCCAGTCGCGTTGTACATCCGCAAAATAATAGTTTCATTTAAACTTAATAGTCCTTAATCATAATGAATACATAAAAAGTTAATTGGCAAGTATTTTCAATGGTTTGTATTTTTATATGGTCAGGGTACTGAAGAAATATATAATTATAAATATTTTAGGTGCGATATTTTTTATTAATTATAAAATTAATAATCTGATTCTCATTGATATTCTTTAAATTATAAATTAACGGTTTAGGCTCGACCTATTTTTGTCGTGCTAAATATAAATACGTTAAGTATAGTCCACATAAAGAAGTTTTCCTAAATCAAAATGAAAAATTTTGTCACTTTATTTTCAGTAATATAAACTCACAATGAAAGAACTGAACGCCACAGCTAGATGTTTTGTATTTATTGAAATCAGAGAACAGTTCAACTTTAACGATGATGTTCAATTCACCGCGAGTCCCGTGCATTGTGTCGAAGACCGGGATCCATCCTGACATAACCGCACCTAGATAGACAACAAATAACTTACATAATTAATATTAAACTAGTTAAAACTAAGGCTTTAACTAACCTTTTATTTGTCATCGTACATAGTACCAATATTTGCAAAATTTCATGTACGAAATAAATAAACAATTTAAGAAAATATATCATATCAGAAAAGTGACGGTTGCCAAACTTTAAACCGATAACCTACAATCTATATCGTTTATCAATTTGGCCTGATTCCAGAGACGGGGAAATTAATATTTATAATATGAGTTTACCCATCGTAATTATAGGCATTACTGATGTAAAAAAATGATATTTACCACCAGGTGGGCCGATTGTACCGTTGGCGTTGTTCGCCTCTCGAGCCAATAGCGGAGCAAGACTGATAACCACTTTTCCAATGGCATCATTAGCTGAATACGTATCATGATCCATTAGTCGTAGCTGAAGTGGTTCATCTTGGAGTTCTGATTCGTCAACCTAAAATTACCAAGAATTACGTCGTAGTAGTTTTTTTTTTGGACGAAAACAATAAAATAATGTCGCCAAATCGGAAACATAAACAAATTGGTAGACGAACGCCAGACGTTACTAAAATTAGATCGTGTACCGCGTAATGTTGTTATCCAGCCAAAATATTATATACATATTGACCTTAGGATAATAGAATATTTGCAAAAAGTTTTGTGAGATAATAAATATAATGTCTTCATAATATAACTATTATTCTTTACTACAAAGTAAATTTACACGAAATAAAAAAAAATTATGAAGACTAATAAGTTGACTACCTCTGTTTATCATAGAACATAATTTCTCTTCATACTATTATTTGTAGAGGAAGTGCTTAGTGATTAAATAAATTGAATGTTAAAAAAATCTATAAAACCCAATAAATATATATATATATATATATATATATATATATATATATATATATATATATATATATATATATGTAGGTACATATATTATGTAGATACTTTATTTGATTATTTTACAATAAAATCTAAAGAAAGACTATATAAAAAAAATATGAAAAAAACCTAAGTATGATTTTTATGACTAATTTTATAAAACTTCTCAAAATATTTAAATAACAAAATGTAAGTAGTAGCAATGTACACTTTAACTATGAATAAAACTGCTTTTGTTTTTGCTTTACTATTTTAAATAAAAGTTACTACCCATAATGATGGTTGCTGTATAGCAGGTGTCGGGTTAATAATAACGATGACGTAAAAAATAATAATAAACATATGTATGAAAAAACAGTGACATTTAAATATGTACTTATAAATATCTTAGCAATTATTTTCTATAGATACATATTCTGGTCATAGTATTGCTAAGAAAACATCACTAAGATTAGCTTCTAATTCCCTGCATTGTCATTAAACATACAAATTATCTTTAATATAAATAAAGCATGCATAGTATATCTGAAAAATATCAGTTTCATTTAAATTATGTTTCTTCAATATTTATTACATATTTAGACGTGTTTGAATGAAATTTGAATACATATATATAAAATGTTATTATTTACTACATATGAACTACTGTTCCTTATCTTGTTATCTATTCAAAATGGAGATATTACTATCTATATACTGACTACTAGATGATATAGAATATAAATAACTTTTCATCTATACCATATCCCATTTAACAGAATACATCCAAATATTTTCATTGAATCTATCTATCGACATGCATGTGTTATATAAACACTGAACTTTTTATAGTTTTGTTTCAACATTTATAACAATAACAACTTTACATAATTCTATGACAATTGATAACAAATGATACATTGTTAATATTTAGTTTTAACTATTAAGGGTATTAAGAAACTATTGAGGGTAAATAGGTCATTGATACAGAGACAGAACAAATATTTTAACCTGTATTGTTATTTGTGAATTAAATACAGCACATTCAAGATCATTTTAGGCACTATTTACTTTAATATTTTGATGCATACACTTTATTAATTTGTTCAAAAATTCAAATAAAACTTATTGTATGAATTGATTGGGTGTCTTGGAAATTTGTATCTATTAAATATATTACTTTTGTTTTAAATCATACACATGATCTGAATTCATTGCAGATATTTACCTCAAACCTATACCACTCGGTGCTATTCCAATGAGGATTGAGCGATTTCCGACATACATCAGTTTTATGGGTGACTCCTCCGAACTTAATTTCCACAAAAGCATCAGTGGTGTCACTGGCCCTGTCCATCACTGGCAGATTGCGACCCGCTAAAACCTTCACTTTTATTTTACCCGGCATTTTTTATTTTACGAAAATATTATTTATTCTTACATACGAATACACATTTATATTAAGAACCGGACATTTTAGCACAAAAGTAGTATTTTTTATCGTACATCCAATTACCGCACCAGATTTTAGTTTACAATTTTAAAGCACATACACAAATCGTCTCATTGTAAATAAACATTGTGATTTTTATTACACATGATCACTGCGTATTAATTATATTTACACATAACACTAGAAGAACTTCTACTATAACGTGTTGCATATAAATTTGAACAGTGTTTATTTATAGATTTGAAGATTTTATAAATACTTCCGAAACGCGGGCGACATTCTTACAGCTGTTATCGGTAAATGTCAGATGAAATGTCAAACTAGTAAGTTATCTAGTGCAAAGTAGGGATGTACCTCCTCCATTCTAAACGACACTGGCAGAATATCTGTGCACGTCTTAAGGCCATATTAAAAACCAAACAAGTAGGGACGTAAGGAGATAATTTTATCGGAAAAAACTGGGAATATATTTAATTTATTCGAATCGATACTCGGAACCGTAGGTGGAGGTGTGGCAGAAATAGGTGATTATTTTTATTAAGAGACATAAGACACAAGGACATATTTTATATTTGAATTTTGATAGATGTGCTATTATCAGCATCTTCATTACTTCTTTAAATTACCATTTAATAACTTGTCGTACTATCTACCCTGTACTCTATTTCAAGATGACAAGAATAACAAATACAAGATTTTTTATCTGTACAGTGGAGGTTTAATTTGCCGCCGAAAATTTAAAATAAATAACCATTTTTAAAATTACTTAGGTGTATTCTAGAGAAAATTCATGATTTTATTTTCCTTAATAACCAGTTCCTTTATAAGCAAAATTTAAGATTGAAATGAACATATTAAAGCTGTAGACTAAAAACTTAAAATACTATATAGAAATTGTTCAAGAAAATTAAAAACATGGTCAGAAAAATAATAATTTTTAATATTAATCACTCTTTTTTTAATTACAAAGCAGTCTCAACATTAACACTTATTTTATAAAGATTAATTATCATATTTACAAAAATAATCTAATAATTGTGTTGTATGGCAAAAATGAAACTTATAATTATTTTTCATTTACTTAACAATACACTGCCCGCAGCTTTCCTTTATTGTGATATCAATTTGTACTGTATTATATTAATATAAAAAAAATATGTTCTATCTTAATGTAACAATTGATAATTAAACATTATTGTCAGTATTAGAATTAGTAAAATATTTTTGAATGAATATTTAGTGAATTATGTATGTAATCTTTAAGATTTTTTCAGCATTTTGCTTATATCTCTACTTCCAATAGGATTTGGTCTTTTTAATTTGTGTTTAGCTGATAGTTTTGGAATGAAACTTTTCAATGATTGTCTCGGTGAGGGGAAAGTGTCATGTTTGGAGTGACCTCCAAGGCCGTCATACGATATGTTTAATAATGACATATTCGGGTCATTTTCTGATGATAATTGTATCTTAATTGGTTCCTTTTGATGAAAGATGCTTGTTTTCTGTATTTCTGGTTTCTTGCTGACTGCGTTCCGAGCTGAGTTAAACAGAGCTAGTTCTGATGGCTGAAATGTTTTATTGTTACATATAAACACATTGAATATAAATGTACATGTTATTAATTATAAAAAGTAATCTAGATATATTGTTTGTAATATAATTAAAATTGTAATTTTACAATGGTGTTATATATGAACAATAATACTTTCTTTGCCTAAAATGTTCTATTATCACATTTTTAAGCAAATTGGTAACTAATCTTTGGTAATTAAACACACTGGTACCAAACAAATCAGGTATTTTTTTTACCTTAAGGTTTCTATCAGGTAATGGATGTGTGGGATGTCTTTGTAAAGCAGTCAGCGCCAGGCTGCTTTGTTTTAAACTTAAGTATGGTGATTCTGAATTTTCTATTCTATTCACCATTGTATTCTGTGAAAAAAAAACAGTCAATTATGAGAATATAATAATTATGTGAGTAATATGTATATGTATATGTGAGTATGTATATGTGAGTCAAAATAATTATGTGAGTAATATGAAAATCTTGAATGTATCTGAGAAATAAGTGGTTGTGAGAACTAAGTTCCTTATAATTTATTTCAGGTTTTTAGTTTTCTATATACTATATAGTTAAATTAATTATCACCCAATACATTACAGGCTCTTTTAACTAATATTTATTTCATATATAAGCATACAAGATTTGTTAATTATAAGAACTTTTTCATATATTATAAATGTTAATTTTCCTTCTAGTAAGCATTATAAATGACTCACAATACTAGTGTTGCTTGTATCACTATCTGGAACTAGGACAGCTTCGTTGAGGTCTAAGTCGGGTTTCATTTGCTTCACCGCCAAATATACAGATTCTGATGAATCCAATTTATCCGCCTTACGTTTGTGTTTCAAAGTGAAGTATTTACGTTTAGTCACCTTTAGTATTTCCTCGGTTAAACTGTGAATGAGAGTTTTTACAATTAAAAATGTTTTTAATACAAGTAATTTGTTAGTTTATTGACAAAAAATTTATTGTTTTCAGTGAGAGGTACAGTTTGGTCATAAAATTGATGGCTAGTATTTGTAATTATCCTAATTTTGTTGTTGCTCATATAAATCACTTACTATCAAGGTAAGCTAATTTGGAACCCTTTCTTTTTTTTTTTTAACGAGGAGAATCTTTTAAAGACTTCCTGAAGCTAATTTGGAACCCTTTATCAAGAACAAAGACGTTTTCAACTTATTTTGTTGAATACTTTCAAAATTAAATTGTTACTTTCTATAACACTTATACATTATTCCTACATTACCATACATTGAGTGCAACAAACTATATTTCTCAAGTAGTTCTACAATTTCCTGACAATGTAATTTGAATATACTTAATATCATATAGATAAATGAAGATCTTATTGAAATTAGTATACTTTTATTATTTTGACCACTTGATTGATATTGTATTTTCTTTTATACCAAAACAGGTTTTCTTCAATATATTCTATGACCAATAACTATTCCTCTTTCTAAAGAACAAAATCTATTGAATATAAATACATATAAATCTATGCACCCTTACAGTAACTTAGACTGAATTTCAGAAACATGTCGTTTTTCAGTAGATATCTGTTGTTTGAGCAATTGTATCTGATCTCGAGATTCGTTTTTCTTATCTTCTGATTCACAAAGTGCCCTGTAAAAAAAATCATTTAAATCAAATGAGATAATACCGATTTATATACATATATATTTATACAAATTGATTTAATTTACCAATATCAATTATTACAAACAAAAGAAAAATATTTACTGCTTATGATAAAAGAAACTATTTTTTAGTTATTATATTTTATTGTATAAATTTCAAAAAAGTTACTACTGACCGTTTCAATGCAGTGGCAAAAGTAGCTACCATTCTTATATCAGAATAACTTTCAAGCATTTTTTCAACTTCATCGCTGGTTGCATTCAAAACTTTCTGTAACCTGAAATAATATACATGATATTTCTGTTTAAATTGAATCTAAAATACTGAAGTCCAATAAATAATATATGCATATTCTTATACAGGGTGACTGGTGAATTACTATCGATATTTGAGGACGTGATATTTGACGATCATATATGACAAAATAAAAAATAATATAACATGAATATTAATAAACTTCTAAGTAAAGTTAACCAAAAGTTATGTAATTAATTACGCATCGTGTGAACACCCTACAGATTAGGTATACACTGACACTCACACATACGCGTCTCTTGACGTAGTGTTGTATCAGCACGCCGCCGCACGCGTCCACACTTGGAACACTTGGAATGTGTACACACTTTATTTATTTATACGGAAATTTGGTCAAAAATTAAGTACCTATTTTTTTTACATAATTCGAATGAGAATCATGTACCGAGTATGCTCCTTAAATATTGATAGTAATTCACCAGTCACCCTGTATACACAATAAGAAACGAAACTTCTTAACGTTTAATGTATTCACCATTATATCAAACTTCTAAACTTTGGTATAATAACACTTCCAGTTGCAACAGTTCTTTGTTTCTTTGCAACCAGTGTACTGTACAAATAGTCGAACTACCCAACAAAATTTTTATAATTGTTGTTTTAAGCGAATGTAAATCCTTTTAAATAAATTTCTTAAACCCGATGCGGGTGCCGATCCATTGTTGTAGTGAGAGGAGCTTCAACAGTGCCTAGGACTTGAGACCCAGGTGTAGGTTTAAGGGGTCCCTTAACTAACGTGCTTTAAACACTCACCTACACTGTCCAAGTTCCTCTTTCTACCTAACCAAATTAAAAAGGAACCTACTAGGGATGCCCTTGACATACATTCTAAGAATTAATTTATATTAGTTCTGGATAGACCAAGTCTTTTAGTAGTTTGTAGCGAGATTTAGCTGTTATACATCTTGCTTTATTATTTATTTAAAGTATTTACCCATTCAATGTCTGCAGGTTTTTCTTCAAAGCCTCATTTTCTTCCCTCAATCTATTGGTTTCATTGTTTTGTATTTTCACATACTGCAGCTGTTCTTTAAGTGCTGATATAGCTGTGTCTCGGCTTTCTAGTTTCTTTTCACATGCTTTCAATAATGCCCTGAAGAGTTAAAGCGAACATTTTAATTACTTACATTATATTTGTAGTATATGGAATACACATTTTAGTAACTCTATATTACTTTAAACAAGTTAATATTAGTGATGTTGCAATATTTGGGAATGACTAGAATTAGTTACGGTGGCCTTGAAACTTATTGTTTTATTTTCATTATTATTTGTTTCCTTACCTTTTTAAATCCTCTTTAGAGCTTTAACTGTATAGTTAGACATAACTTGGATACTTATTGGCCCAATAATTTGACAGTTTCACTATGCTACCTTTAGCCTTATTGAATTATATATGTATTTTATTTATACTACTGATTTAAAATTGAACATGTAGCAATGATACTTACAAATTCTTTTTGATCTCAGCCTCCGTAGCTGTAATTTTTTCTTCATGTTCCTTGCAACTAGCTTTCTGTTGTCGAAGTTGTAACTGTGCGTCGTCAAGACGTGATTGTAATGTGGCTGCGTCCTCACTTGTAGCTTCATTTGATATTGTTGGATAAAAACGAAACATGCATTTGTCTGTCACTTTGTTGCGACATTGTGGGCATGATTTAGATCTAGAAATTTCGATGTTATAGTACTGACTTTCTATGTATATGATTCAAGATTATGAAAATACTGACCGTGCAATCCATTTTGATAAACAGTTATAATGAAAAACATGTCCACATTTTGTCACATATATATTTTCCGCTTGATTTACGATGTCACTGCAGATGGTGCAAAGAATATGCATTTTACTGAAAAGATAAGTATGTAGGTTATGGATTTCAATTATTTAAATTAATCTCTCTTAATACCTATTGAAATTTTTTTACCGGCACAATTACATGTCAGATTCAAGTAAACACAACATGGGTAGAATATTCAAATGATTTCTAATAATTCGTGTAAACATTAACCTACCCCCTTTTCTACAGTTCGTTATAATAAATTAAACATGACCTATTTATTTTTATAAATTGTCTCCACTAAACGCTTGTATGTTATCCATTATTTAATAAAAGTCCATTATTACTTTCTTTTCTATTTGCCGCCAATTTTATGAAAATAAAACGAAAAATGAGCTTTACCGACAAACTAATGTATAAACTGTCAACGCTCAAATTTGATAAGATAGTGTTGTACTACGGTTCTACGGGAATAAGATTAAGTAGGATATTGAATTCTTAATCAAAATAGTTCGATTTTTTTTCTAATAATTTGGATTCAAATAACCTTCTTATTATTAAAAATAATAATTTGTTTAATAAAAGATAATGAAATAAAAGTAAGAAATAGGAAACGATGAGAAGATAATAAAGCATTATAGTTGTCTATTATTTTGCTTACTTATTATTTTATAATATAATACATTAAAAACATTAATTATAAATGAGACTTTTTTAATTGAATGCTTTTGTAGCATGTTGAAAGTCGTAGTGACTTTTTGCTCTTAAGAACACTTTCTTACTCTTAATTTCCTATTTAATTAAGGTTTTTAAGGTGATTCGTAAAAAATAATGTATAATTAGCTAAGTTATTCTGAAACATAAATCCAATAAAGGTTCACGTATATCTTTTGAAGCTGGGATCTTATCTGGGATCAAAAAAAAGATACTTCAGTAAGAATTAGTATAGTGAATGGCGACAATATCCTGACTAAAAATTAAGATTATTACGCAAGCAGCGGCATACGAGTATATAGTCAGTGGTGGCCTAGTGGTTAAAGGCCCGCCTCTCGTGCACTAGGGCGTGCACTAGGGGTTTGAACCCGCGGGGACAAAAGGCAAAGGAAAACGTCGTGAGGCAGCCTGGACTTATAATTTCACAATTATAAGTTTTAAATCACCAACCCTTCTTGAGCAAGAGTGGTGATTAATGCTCAAAACCTTCTCCATGTGAGAAGGAGGCCTTTGCTCAGAAGTGGGCTCTGATATGCTGATGACAGACGCCAACGGCGGTTAATCACATTGTTACATTAAAGCTATTTGTTTCTTTTATTTCACACTAATAATTCATTGATTGCTTTGACCACAGCTTTCTAATAAAGTCAAATTAAAGTATAAGAAAAATAAAAAGAAAGACAAAAAAAAACAGATTCTTACAATTTTTTATTAACTAAGGCTACTCACGCCAATCTTCTGTGAGAGGGCAGTACTTTCGTGGTCGAGCCCCTATGTTCGATCTGTAAAATACTATAACTACAACAGTATATTAGGCTCTACCATCTACTGTCATAATTCAGTTTCTAAATAGGAGAATATTTTCGTAACTCAATTAGGAATCTAAACTGCTTGAGCCAGTGTCTTTAGTAGGCTTCGGACTTCAAGTAAAAGAAATCGACTTTTCAAATAAATTTGTTTATCGATATTAATTGGCACAGTTACCATTTAAGATATACATTTTTTATGTATATGCTTTAAGTTTTTTTATACAAATTTTAGATCTACTATATAAAACAATTGTCTGGTAGGATTAAGGAAATATAAAATTAACTTCCCTAAGTCATTGTAAGTATGCTCCATGTTTTAATGTTAATACATTGAAAACATTTAGAGATGCAACGACGTGTAAAATAATCATGTAATCTTTCCAATAAAATCCTTTATTATACCTTATGATTAAATTAAATCAAAATTTTTACTGACCGAAGTTTTTCTTTTGTCATTTGTAAATCAATGAGGAAATCATACATTTTAAATTTTATTACATTCATAAGTTAACCTCGAACCGTGTCTCCTCCATTCTACTCGACACTGGCAGAATATACTGTGCACATCTTTGCACAGATGAAGATCATATAAAACAAATAATCAACCAACCAAATCATACATTTCTGTTGTCATTAATAAAACACTTTTATTTACAATAAGTAGTTTATTATAATGATATTGGTTTTGTAAATGACAATAACATAATAAGCTTATTAACATTACCGTATCATATATATTATTAAAGCTAATAAAGTTGTCTTTTTGAAAATTTAAGCCCATAGTCGATTGTAATAAAGAAAAAAAAATCTATGAGAGTTGTGACCAAAGACATTATATTTTTTTATGAAACGTCAATTTCGTCCATCTTCTGTTTTGCTTTCTTTAACTCAGCCAACAATATCTTCACTTGGCTCTTGTCTATGATCAGATCTTCTTTTCTATGTTTTCCTGTGAACACGTCGTCTGTGTGTAATGTCAACTTGACAGTGTCAACAGTTCCTTCAGGTCCGGGGGCTGCCGAGACGTCAGTTAGCTTGTTGACTGATAACAAAAAAAATAAAAATAAAGTCATACTATAAATAAATAAAAAATAGTTAAAAATTAAAAGTTAGTCAAAAACCTTTACTACATTAAGCTTTAGTATTCTTACTTCATTATTAATTAGCGGACATAATTAGGATTTGATAGTTTTTATGCTCAAAGGGCTGTCAAAATACATCGGAGATAGTACAAATCCGCGTAGCTAGCAATAGATAATTCCGCGTATCTACTTTCGAACCAGTAATATAGAAAAGTTAGAAACTCAATTATTTTCTGAATTTAATAACGTTTAAAGTAATATCTTTCACAATTAGTAATTATTTAGTGTTTAATTTATTACTAATGGCGAAAAAGTTACCTTCATAGTCGGTAATTTAGAAAATATTTCAGCTTAAACTTTCTTCTGATAATCTGCTTCCAATGTAGATACGCGGAATTATCCAATGCAAGTCACGTGGATTTGCACTATCCCCGACGATGTCAAATTTGATACACCAGAACGGGTAAAATTATTAGTAGGGAGCAAATAAGATAAGGAAAATAAAAAGAACAATACCATAACTCCATCACTGTATTTAGAGAGTTCATATTTGGTATTTTTTTTAATAGAAAACCATATAGTATGAACAATTGATAAATTCATATGCTTATAGTTAGACACAATATTAATTAAATCATAAGAGCTTAGTATAGACGATAAAAACCGATAATCAACAATAATTAATTATAAATCTCACCCATAAAACCGTTAGAAGTGATCCTAGTCTCGTACCCATCCCTAGTTGTATCAGCGGCATCTGCAAGTGCTGCGGCGTGAGCTCTCGGCACTCCCAGCACTAGCAGGTCTCGAGCCAGCTGCACACCGCTACAGCTGCAGCGGTGAGCCTGCTGCAATGTCCAGCGCAAAACAGCAGCAGCTCGAGCGGCTTCATCACGAGATGCTGTTAATATTATCTTCGTATAGTGTTTTGGAATTATACTAAGTATTACAAACTTCAGGTTATTACAGACTCCGAACAGGTCATGAATGTGTTTAATAAGAGAAGAACGAGATTCTTCAGGTGAATATTATCAATTGGATACTAAAATATGCATTTTTAAGTTTAACATCTTACCAAAATAATAATTCTGTATATCATTCATTAAAAAAACAGGGGTAAAATATATCTAAACATACTTTCGTTGTTTGAGTATATTTCTTAAATATGGACTGGAAATTTTGTAATATTTTTTTAAAATAAATATTTTTAACGGTTTTTTAAAAAAGTAATACGGAAAAATCGTCAACTTGTATTAAAAGAAGTCAAGCACTATATAGATTTGATACAAAGAAAAGGATTAATGCTCACCTAAACTGGTTCCTTTTAATATTTCCATGATTCCATCGTCCTGAAGAAGAAATATATGATACATTACTAATAATATATTCATACAGACACAGCAGAGACAAACATAATATATAAATATATGAAACTATTTCATACCCGTCTTTTCGTTTACGTTGTGTGACATCAAGCAATATTTAGTATTCAGATAGTAAGTAGTGCCTATAAAATTATTATTTTCTTATAAATATTTTTCTTAGTTAATTAAAATTTAGGTTATTTAGGTGGTAGAGCCTAGCTGTAGTCAGTTACTACAGCTCGAACATGGGCTGGCTCGACCGGGGAAGTACCACCCTCTCACAGAAGATCGGCGTGAAGTAGCCTTAATGGCTGCGTTTCGTCTGATGAGTGAGAGAGCCGGTTGCCCTTTCCCTATTCCCACCCTTTCCTACCATTTCCTTATTCCCACCACTCCCTATCCCTACGAAACAAGGTTGGCAACGCATCCGCAACATCTATGTTGTGGATGTCCATGGGCGACGGTAACCACCTTCCATCAAGTGGGCCGTCTGCTCGTTTGCCAGCTTTCACATAAAAAAAAAAAATATATCGTTATATTATTTTAAGACGAATGCTATATTATTCATTGAAATCTTAAAATATTAATGTGATTCGGTTACTGCTTATTTATATAGAAGAGAGGCCTTTAGATAAGTTTTAACGATGCCAATACCGATATTTACAATAAATAACGTATAACGTATAATAACGGTAAAATTTGATAAATATTGCAAAATGAGACCCTGTTCTTTAAAAATGACTTTTATCTCATATGTAGGGATTGTTAGAAATGAACCAAAGAGATTATATATATAAAAAAATAATTAAAACGTCTTAAACTCATAGTCTATCGTTAAAAGCCGAAGATATGAAACTAATCTCCTAACAGAAAATTCATAAAATGCAGATAAGAATAGAAAATGTCACAGATACATAATAAAAGATCCCAACTATTAATACGTCAAGTCTAAAACAATACAATTAATGATTGACATAGATTCAAATACCCGAAAAATATTCTTTAAAAACAATGTAGATACGATTTCAAAATTTTCCAATTTTTTCCCCCAATTTTAGTACATTAGTTACATATTTTTTATTAGCCTTTCCAGATAAAAGAATTCATCATGATGAAAAAAAAGACTGAATAGAAAAGATAAAGAAGTGAAAATTAAAAAATGGTACGATTCCAATATTTCACAAAGCTTAAAATAATTTTTCGGATTACTACGCGTATTTTATTAATTTTAAAAAGTACTTAATATGTACTCCCGACTTTTACACATTCACATCTTGTCTGCCCGTGATCACTCTTTCTGCAAAATAAACGAACCTTACGCATAGTAATCCGAAAAATATTAGTTTCATTAAATGAATACTCGCGGAAATCTTAGATGTCATTATTTTACATAGCTTTGTGTAAAAAAAAATATCAGGAAGAAGAAAACTTTTTTCATACTTTCAAAAGCAAATGATTGTGGAGCCAAATTAAATTATTTTGTGTTTATTAACATATATGGTTTAGTGACGGGATGTTTTTTTGCAGCACTAATCACTTCAAAAGTATGTTACCACGACTGTAAGATTCGGAGCTAAGGGTTGAGATATAAGGCAAGTGTACAAATAACATTGACACCTTTTTAAATATATTTTATTATCAAAATGTACAAAGAAGGAAAAGTTAAATAGTTTTGAATTAGAATCCATTTTTAGTATTCTTGTAGGTATGAGTGTATATAACACAAATTAGATAGTTAACATTAAAAAACACCATTTCATTATTTTTTATTGTTATATAATAATAAATATAAAAATACAAAACTCATTAATAGATCGTTTAGAATGCTTTCAGTTCTGAACGTGTGCTGCAAATTTAGTTTTACAACTAATTAACAACTTGAATACTTACGAGAATATCCTAAATTATCTCAATCATATGTAATATTTATAATATTTAACGAATTAAAAAAGGGAAATTGTTTTTAACAAATAAAACGGGACTTAATTGGAATTATCTATTTAAATGATCGCGTTTATAAACACAGATTAGATTGCTATTGTGTCTTTGTCATGTGAAAGTGGAAATATATTTGTATATAAAACATTAATATGCCATAAAAATACTCGTAGATACTTCCAAAAACCATTGAAATTTGTATGTTTAAGTTGTATAACCTTACCAAAAGTTTGCCTTGTCAATTTAATACTGAAAGTACTCAGTTATTTACTCAAAACCATCACTTCAAAAGTTTTAAAGACTATGAAACTCTTCAGTTAGTTTAACATTGCAATCTTATCGTTAGGTTAGTTTTAATGATTTTCTTAACTGTAAAATTTTTAGTAATTTTCGTTATGTAAATAAGTTTTATTGATAACATAAATGACCATCCACGAAAAAACCTCAAACGCAATTCTAGCGCAGAGTAATATAGAATATAATGACAAATCCTCACTCATCTTGGGGCAGACTACCTTAAAAACTATCAAAATTATATCGCTTGTAACAAAAGTAGATAGATGCATCAGAAACATCACGGCGAGCTTTAAATTTATGTAATCTGATCTTCTTATACAATGATATAGGAAGGAACATAGTATAGTCACTGGGATGGAAGTGATCATGAGGATAGAAGTCATCCTTATAGCAGGCACCAGTAACGATTCCATGACATCACAAGGACTCACAAAAAACGGAAACATCGTCAGCATAGCTTCCTCATACATACTTATTAAGAGTATAGAGAAACGAGCCAATTTCATCACATCATTCTTGGAGTAACCATTAGATCCAGCGCTGACTATATAAAGGTCTGCAAACATCTTCAATGATATACACGCAGTCCAGAACGGCACCATGGAACTGAGGTAACTGGTCAAGTGATACAATATAACAGTAGACCGATCAGCTTCATCAGGATAGAATTGGAAGAACGCGTTCAATGCCATCAAATGTTCGATGCTGGTAACTAGATGTTGCTTGCACATATAACGATAGACACCTTCACACTTATCAGACGAACAGAACAAGAATAAACAAAGAATCAATGGACATGGTATTATCAATAAGTTTCCTATAACCAATATATCTGTAACATCTTCATCAGGCTTTGGTAGGTCCACTTTGATCTTGATCTTCTCGTAAAGAAACAGAAGACCAGTTTCTTCCGAACAATTAACATTCATTGTGTTTTTAATACTTGTTTAATTTGACGCAGCTTTTTATAGCACTGTGAGTATTATAATGAAACTATATCACGTTTTATAATGTATTCGATAAAAATAATTGATTGATTTAAACCGCATTGAGATAAAATTTATTCAAGTTAAAATTTTGTATCGTATTTTGTGTTATTTTACTCATTTCATACAATTGGAATGATCAGAAAAACTATAAACATTAAATTAAATCAATATCTTTTGTTTTCATATCAAAATAGTTTTTGTTTAAACCGAATTATTAGTGACCTCGTAACACTAAAACACATAATATTCCGATCCTAATACAAATCATAGAGTAACCTTTTCACGACTTATTCTTTACCAAAATCATCTTAATATTATTAGGAAGCAAAGACGAACTAAAAGCCTCTGAAAATGTTATTTGTGAAATACATCATGTCTAATATACAGTAAGATGTGATCAGGTCACGGAATTTCGTCAAATATAAAGATTCTTTATACGATATATATATTAAAATGTTGTATGTATAAAGGTAATGAAATAATTCTCAACTTAGAAGGATCTGGGATATCTGTTTTCAAAAGATTTCAAAATTTGAAAGTTTTTGACTTGAAGATTTTACATAAAACAAGATGTCAATGGAATAAGTTTAGGAGTTATTGAAAAGTTCGGTTAAACACTTGAAAGACCGTTGATTTGTCGCTTCAATGATTCTCAAAAAGCATATAATTTAATTCTATTTACGACTACAACTTAAATATGTATTAGTAATAATTTCCATGAAGAGAAGGCATCGTTTAACTGATTTCATTGTTTAGCAAGACGATAAAGCTTACCTCTTAAAACGAGTTGGATGAAAAAATATAAATCTTTTTATTGGAATTCTCTGATTCTCTAATGATTTACTTAATTAATTATATATAAAATAATTATATTAAATGTATATAATATACTGTAGATATTTAACATAATACACACATACATTTTCATATATAAAAAAAATGGTTGGAAGGATGTCCTTATATTTAAGATATATGAGAGTAAATATTACTAGTACCTTCAACACAAATTGAACCTTAATTAATGATTGTTAGAATATCTATCTGTTTGTCTGTTTGTGCATGCTAATCTCAGAAATCGATTATTCGATTACGATGAAGTTTTCACGAACATGTTATAATATAACTTACCTACTTAATATTTGTCATGTCAAACGGCTTATAAATAAATTGTCATGGAATTCTCAGAAATACGTCAATTATTAATTGATTTATTCAACTATACATACCTGCTATTTCTCTACTCCGTAGCATCGACTGAAACTTCACTCCACATATAATGATTATAAATAACTACAATTCAATATTAAATGCGGACAAACCCACGGGCACAGCTAATACATACTATTAAATAATTTAATATTATTTACCGGCTGTTCATCCAGAACGTGTTTCAGAAGATTCCTGAACACGGGAGCCGGCAGACTGCTTAAAGCATGAAGTGCTGCAAGGGCCCACAAAGGACAGTCACCATCGGAGCAAAACTTGAACTTCTGCGTAGTATGATAGAATTATAGATTAAACGTTGCCATGGCAACGAAGTTAATACACGAATATGTAAACAATAATAATCGCAAATGTTAGATATTTAAATGAAACTGATATTTTTCGGATATATACTATGCGACTTTACGAAACGTCGGGAGTATGTAGTTTTTTTTACAAAAGTAATGTCACGTGTAATCCGCAAAATATGTATTAGTTTCATTTAAATGAATGAATGAAAGTCGTGAAAATTTTAGATCTAATTAAGTGTTAAATATGTTTGACGGTTGATATTCATACATAAATTAAATTTTATTCGATTGAACCATGAACTAAAAAGCTTAGTTAAACAAGAATCTATTTTTATAATAATCTTCACTAATAACATTACTTCGTATATATGATATATATATAAAATATTTCTTATATAGTTATATACAATCACTTACCATGGTGTTTTATCTGGAGGCGTCTAACTGTAACAAGAGACAGTTATATTAACATAGAAATAGTCGGTCTGTGTGCTGTACGGTCATTGGAGCGACGGACACAACAACTTTATCATTTAATAGGATACTTACAAGTTGTATGGAGTTATTATAATTCAAACAGTACATTAAATATTATATATATAACATTAAATATAAAAAAACATCGATTAATCTTGAGTAATATTTCATAGTAATCAAAAAAGATTTTAAAATTCCATAATAAAAAAACATTTATAAATTTAATGTTTCATTATAAACATATTAATTATTTTCAAATATTTCATTTTCATAAAAATGTTTTTAAAATTTCATTTGAATCTATATAAAAACTATTATTATCATTAAGTTTTACATCCATGAAACGAAAATTTATATGTTTTGATGGTAACCATAAAAGTTGTAACAATTCAAAGATAATATTGTTACTTTACATCTATTTTTGAATATTATTTTTAAGTTGAAAATATCACTTGATGTCAGAAGAATATAATTGTATTTAATTAATGCAAGTTTGCAAAACGTCTTGTATTTGAAATGAAACTAATATTTTTTCTTAGATCTCGTATTATTTTGAGGTGGTTTGAAAAATTTTGTCATGTTGTTGACTAGGTATCCGGGTTTTACGGCGTGGTCAAAAATCTGAATGAATTGATGTTCGTGAGACCAACACAAACAAACGAAGCGATTTGTACCTTTCATGTTTGTTAAAGTTTTGGGGAGAAATAAAAAAAATTAAACCGAGAGGTGTGTTGGAGAAAAGTATTTCTGTGACATTGTAGCAAGATATGTTTATTTATATTTAAACTATAAAACGGAGCAGAAATATATTTAAAATAAATGAATGAGTATGATTTTTTTTTCGATTAATCGAGAAATAATCAGTCGAAATTGCTGTTAATAGTTGGTACGTATAATGATATATACCTATATATATACATATGTGTATGTGTGTGTGTATTTATATATTAGTAATAAACCATGGTCCATTTAATATCCCTTATGTTTGTTATAACTTAATGATTTGCAAACATCAAGTCACAGAGGACCTGATATTAATATGATTCACAACAATTATATATTACTATTACCCAACAATTAATATAAAATAAATGAAATAAAAAAACAACAAATTTTAAATAAGACCGCTGTTTAAAATGTAGTAATCCAGCCATTTATAAGAATAAAATTAACGAATAACTTAAAAATATAACAAAGAAATGTACTCATTCAAAACTATAAGGGTTTTAAATGAAATATGAATGCAACATAGAAATGATTTGACAGGCAACTTAGGATGATTATTTTTATACTCTAATGGTGTGAAAAAACTTAAATAAAATTGATTTCAGCACAAATCAAGTCAAAAGAATTACTAGGTACTACCTTTCTTTCTTACTGAAATATAATGGTACAACGACTAACGAGAAAAATAGTATATATAGTTTGAAAGCACATTTCTTGTTAGTAATTATAACCAATAATAAATTGAAAGAAATAATAATCTATTGACTTTTTTTTGTTACAACTTATTTTATAGTTTGAGAAAACTATCAGTTTTTGATCTATTCATTGAGAAACAAGCCATATCAAGTGATTTTTATAACAACAGTCATATAGTTATTGTTAATGTCTTGTTTCTTCACTGTAACTATTATAAAAAAAATGTCTGTTTGTATATGAGAAACAAATGAAAAGCTTATTCAAAATCGCTTAATATGAAGAGTAAAAACGAATTACTACAAATTATAAAAGTGATTTAAGCATTACAAAAATCATAGTAATATTCTAATATGAGATATTTTTGTGTTTAAAAAGATAATTTATGTGTAAAATATATAAATGAAATGAAATAAAATGTATAGTGGTTTTTGTTTATGTAACAAATATCTCTTTCAAGCTTAACCATAGTGCTGGATTTAGATGAATTCAGAATCCGAGTGAAATGCGGCCCCGAATACTTAAAGCCTATCTACTAGTAGTATACAATTAAAATATATTAATACGTATATACTATACCGAGTACGCGTGATGTCAGAAAACGAAATTATAAAAATAACTTCTTCTGCAATTAGTTAATATCCTAAAGAACTTCAGCAGATCGAGGCTCTTCAAAAGAATTCGCTATTGACTCTGCTCTTGCTTTATCTTATACCGAAACTACAATTAAGTCTGTGATGTATTTAGTGTGTAATTTTTACAGGTACTGAAAAATACATAAAAACCTCATTCATACACTTATAATTTTAAGAAAGATACTAGAACTACCACCAACTTAAAACTTTTACGTACTTTATTATTCTGAAAAACGAAATGCGTGTCAAGTCGTCGGATAAATGTCATGTCATCATGTCATCAGCCTATCAGAAGCCCACTGCTGAGCAAAGGCCTCTTTCTCACATGGAGAAGGTTTGAGCATTAATCACCACGCTTGCTCAAGACGGGTTGGTGATTTCAAACTTATAATTGTGAAACTACAAGTCCAGGTTTCCTCACGATGTTTTCCTTCACCGTATGTCAGTGATGTCTAAATACTCTCAGAAAGTACATATGACTCCGAAAAATCACATTGGTACTTGCCAGGTTTGAACCCGCGCCCTCGGCAACGAGAGGCGGGCCCCTTAACCACTAGGCCACCACTGACTTATGTCTATAATGAGACATATTTAACTAGTTATATAACTATATAACTAGTATAACTATATAACTATATAACTAGTTAAATATGTCTCAAATTTATTTCATCTTATATGCGGAACTGTCAAAATTCAAATATAAGCACACACGTTCAGTACAGCGAAGATTTTTTTTCTCTTTCTACCCACTCAAACGTTCTCCAAAATTGGGCTGTGTTTTCATTCAATCAACTGCGTCCCAGGTGCTTGATCTGAACTGTTATTATCGTGTTAGAACAGGATAGCTTTTTAGAAGGCACTTTATTATTAGCCAATTAAGAAATGGAATCCTACC